TTTATTCAGTGCATAGTCCCGTGTGTGTGCTTTCTTCTTGGTTTCATCTTGATCAATTTTTTTTTATTAATTAATGAAATTTTCATAAAAGTAATTTGATTTTTTGTATCGCATGGGGAGTTGCAGAGATGCGTACCTCATGCTCGGTGTTTTAGAATCCTTGCCTTAATATTTTTTAATGAACAGAGAAAAAACCAACAACTGGAGAAGCACTGAAGTCTTGAAGTCTGAAGCACTGAAGTGTATTCTTGATAGTCTCAAGAGACTTTCAAGCCTTTTTTCTTCTAAAAAAAAGGCTTGAAATGACGCTCAAGGCGGCAAAGGCTCAAGGACGTTTTGAAGAAGAGACGTCAAGCCGTTTCCCATTTGACAAATTAAGTGAGACAGGATGGTACAAATTGAGATACTTTCTTATGTGTATGCTGTCTCACAATCGATATTCATTATACATATACATTTTGAATATTTCATAGAGAATGAACATATCTCAATGGCTGTTTAAAACTATCTGGGAATACTATATCCTTCCGAGTGAAAAGAAATCAACAGCATGTCTTTTGATCCCTCATCTTCTTTTTGACACTTCTCTCCTGTCATTTTTATAAGAGTCAAAGCATGATTTTGTTTCATTTTCTCACTAAAAATGAGGAATGCTTAGAAAATTTGAATTGTTACATGTGAGATAATTCATTCTGGATTTTAGGTAAGGAAACATCACAGAAAAATTGAAAATTTGAGGAGCACGAAGTTTGGAGTTCAAATAAACTGAAAAACCATGATGAGAGAAGAATATAAAACAAAAATCGTTTTCTTTAAAATCTATTTTGTTTAATTAATTTTCTGGATTAAAGTACAAGAATGAAAGAGTTTATCAAAATAAATACATCCTTGAAAAATATCTAATTCCAGAAAAGAAAAATGCAAAGACATAAATCTAGTGGTATGAATAAATAACAAAGATCAGTCTTTTTGAGGGAGTACATTCTCTGAATAAGTTCATGGGACAAAGGAAGTGTATGAGAGTCAACTGGACACATTTACGCTAAAAGAAACTGCATGCAAATGAATTAAATCAAAATAAACTATTTAGCATGCTAAGTCTATCCATAAGCCTTTTTTGATTAGACTCAAATTCAAATACCTACAGTAGATCATCAATTGGACGTATTTCTGTCAAACGGAACTAAGCGCCATCAGGGTAGGAAGATAGAGGGGGGCTTGGATTGGCGGCGGAACTGGGCGTCGGGATCATTCCATCCTATGCTCTCAATGCTTTTCCATGACACTTGGTTCCGTCTGACAGAACGCGCTATCTGGGATTCTAAATTCCTCAAAAGGAACTCAAATTGGTGCTTAGTCCTGTTTGACAGAAATACGTCCAATTATCTGCAACTCAACTATCCGCGCCTCAATTATCCACACCCTGATTATCCATGTATATTTTCGGTTATAAGGCATGGCTTCCTCACTTTTGAAATGTGGTTTTTACCAGAAACGACAAGCGGTTTTTTGGTAAAAAATTGAAAATGTGTGGTTTTTCTTTTTTGTAATTTTTTTCCAATGTAAAGACTATGTTTCATAAATAGGTGCAATAGAAATTTGCCGAGGCTAATGCTTTCTGGTCACAAAGGGCCAGAGCCTAAAATGGCAATTCTTCTATCTCTTTTTGGTGGTTTTGATCATCTGTCAGTTACATTATCCAGTGTTGACCTCCGCCCTATTATTGCAGATAATTGATGATCTACTGTAGCTAATTCCTTTTTCCATAAATACGACCAATTGAGAGACTGCAGGATACTAAACACTTCTTGTGGCCAGATTTTTTCACATAAATTTCAGTTATTTTAGACAACAGATCAGAAGGTGTAATGGTGTAAAAACATCCTTGCCAAACATTGTAGATATAAGTTTTGAAAAGGACCCCATAAAAGGCAGAGTTTTCTTTTCCACTACATTTTTTATCAAAAAAATTTAAAGCATCCTGCAATGTAAGTATTTCAAACAAATATATCTCTGCTTTGAGTGTTTTGAAATAGTCTCCCAAGAGAGAGCTTAATTACCTGCTTCCATCCAAACGTACAAATGAGGATAAAAAATACGAGATGGGTTTGCAGCTGACCGCTATTGATGGACGTTCTCACTATGAGCGACCAATAAATTTAGTTTCCATTTTATTTTTCCTGCTTGTTAAAAACCAATAAAACTTCGAAGAATAGAATACAAATAGAATATAATTTTAATATTTTGAGATAATCTAAACTTTAATTACACTTAGATTACAAACATGTAAGTCCGCCAGTTTTATGACAACCTATTTCTATTCAATGAAGCACACTTCCATTTTACCTTTTCCTGGTATAAAGCCGTACTTATTTTTATCCCTCTACAAAAGTGCTTTTGAGGTCTTGGAGATTATGGTTGGCAGGAAAAATAGACGAGGCTTAAGTTATGACATCCAGCATTACAATGGAAATTATGAAGGTTTGCATTCTATGGAGTGCTTTAAAAAATATTTTTCATAAGAAGGAGATAGGTTGTTTCCGACTGACGTTCAATTCTCAAAAAATCAAATTCATTAGGATCTTAACAGTCCTGTTATGGATTCGGACATTAATCAATAACTTATTGAAAAAATGTTCGTCATTTAGGTGATAGGTTTTTAAAATTCATGCAGACCTTAAAAAAGAGCTACTGAGCGATGTAAAAGGTAAAATTGTTTCACCTTATTTTTTTATTATTCGTCCAATTTAATCTAATTTGTTTTCGGTTTAAAATGATTGCAACTGAAATTAGGCTGACTAGAATGATTTGTAGAAAGTGTCATCCACTTTCTAATTAAAATGGTGCTCTGTAGAATGGTAAACTAAGAAAAACTATTCTACTTAAATAATAACCCCCCAAACCATGTCAAAAATTGAAGATTTTATACAATGAAAAAAAAAAACTATGGAGATAATAAGGGCTAGGCTCGTTTTCCCTTCGACAAAAATTACAATGAGATATAGGAAGGAGAGTGTACAAAATTTAGAAACTTTTTCAATTGATGCTTCAATAATTTTGAACCCCTAAAATTTGATTGCAGTGATACCAAAGGGAACACTGTATGGGGATATAGAAGAGAAAAATGGTTGAATTTAATGGATACAAAATCTAAAAAGTAGGAATACATGAGTAAGTCAAAATTAATCAATTATCAAACAACAAAAAGTACTTAGCAAATTTTAATTTTAACTTTTGTTTCCACGGACTAATGCAGTTCAGAAGGCTTTGTTTCAAGTTGGAAGCCACATGATAATTTTTTTAAGATAATCCATGAATCTGCTGCTTCAGGGAATGCACATTGTTGGACTGAGATCCACTTGTATAATACTGATATGAGATACTAAAAAAATTGCAACTATTCAGCTTAACATCGAAGAAGGGGTATCGATGACGTACTGAAGCTTGGTCTAAAAATCCCATAACTGCCTATTTTTCGGTTCGTGTCAGTGTAAATTCTTTGATAACGACAGGGCTTTGTAAAACTCTTAGACCTCAAGATGCTTGTCCTCTTTGATGCCCCTTCTCTAAATTCGATAGGTGCTCTGCGTAAACACGTGCTGTGAGAAAATTCCCTGAGTGAGGAAAATGGAAGAATAACATAATTGAGGGAATTTAATGTATTCCCTTTTGTGAGATGACTTATTCAAACTTAATCATGGGGATGATTTTAGAGAATTGGATGGAACATAATGAAAAAAAATTCTCAGAAAGAGTTTCGTTTTACGTCCCGAAAATGGAATAAAGAAGAAAAAACTATTACAAAATTGATTGACAAGTGGGAATGGAAGTTAAGAAGTGCAGAAAAGGCATTTTTTTGAAGACACCATGTTCGAAAATTTGAAAGGATCATCAATTTTAAAAATGATAACATTTTCCAAAAAGGATGTACACAGCCTGAGATCCAAGAGGGAACTTTCATATTCCTGGAAATTCCCTCCTAAATTTTATTCCTTAGGGAAATTCTGACTAAAATAACATGCATGAACGGAATACGCATAAAAACTCACACTTTGAGCTTTGAAGAGCAGCTAGGAACTTCCCATGAAAGTTCCCAGAATCTTTTCTAGAAATGTCCATTTCCAGAACTTAACGTTCCTACAAAACTTTGATCTCCGATCAAGGCTCAAAATACTAAACAGCTGAAAAGAGAAAACTTCTTAAAAATTTGAGTGTGAGCAAAGGATTGAAGCATTGGTGTTAATTGAAATACCTAACTGCCTTTAATAGGAAAAGAAGCTTACAGACCTATGGTAAAAACAACAGGCCCACGAAGTACCTTTGAAAATACAGAAATTGGATTAGTCAAGTACATACAACAACACAGTTCCTCTTATGAAAATAGAAAAAGCAGCTCATTCACTAAAACTAAAGATTTTGGACCTGCTTTGTATTATTTAGAGAAACTGATTCGGGAACAATTAAGGACAGGATCATCCAGGGCAAGAGAGCCATCGCGATGCTGAACAGGGTGCTCTGGAATCAGAGCATTTCAAAGGCAAACAAGCACCGGATATATGACGCCATCGTTAAAAGTATCGTGCTCTATGGTAGTGAAGTGTGGCCTTTCACGAAAAGAACGCAAGAAATGTTGAGGGCAACTGAAATGGATTTTTGGCGGCGATCTGCCGGCATTTCGAGATAGGACCGTGTCCGTAATTAGAGAATTCGCCAGGTGATAAAGGTTGAAAAAGATATCGTGCACGACATCATGTCCAGGCAGTTATGCTGGTATGGACATGTGCAAAGAATGTCGGAGGAGAGGTTGCCCAAACAAGTTTTGGATTGGATACCACCTGGGAAGAAGCGACAGGGACGTACCGTAAAGGGTTGGCGGCAGGGCGTTGACGAAGAGATGTTGCGGCGTCAGTTGCCCGATAACCTCTGGGAAGACAGGCATATGTGGCGTTTGGGCGTCGTAGAACGCCAGAGTGCGTTGTAAAGCGACTTTTTATATATTTATATGATTTGGTAACATAAATAAGCGATAACTTTCATCAGAAGAAGTATCAGTTTTCTCTCATATAAAGACAATAGAGACTATTAAAGAGTGACGGTAACAAAAGCACAAAACGCCTTCTCAACATTGATTAATTATACCATTCTGACTGATGGTTCAACAGTTTGACATGGTCCAAATAAGGTTCAATTTCATTCACGTGCAATAGAAAAATAAGATAAAACAGTTCTTTTTTACTTATTCCTTGCTTTGCTTTGGCAAATCTATGAATTGAAATTGGAAACGTAGAGTGGATTGAGACAATAACTTCGGGGTAAAAAAATATTATTGCCACAACTACCTGAAATAGAAACACCAAAAAAAGTGCAAATCTAGTTGAGAGAGCTCAAGTTTTTCTTCAAATTGGTGAACTTGGATATGAAAGAGATTCGTCGGAATTACGATGCTTTACTGCTTAGTGGTAGACCGCAGATGTAGTTGTGCAATGGGATAGCTGAGAGTCCGGCAAGACAGATTCCTAGTGCATCCGCAAATGAGGTCATAGACATCGAAAATTCTCGCTCCTCAATGGGCATCTGAGAGTGACAAGAGCAAGAAATGGTGTTAAGAGTGACAAGACACATTCCATCGTTTTTCGCTCGAAAGAACGTAAATAAATTTCAATGATGCAAAATTTGCCCTCGCAAATTGCATTTTTATGAGGAGAATCGCAAGCCTTTCTGACTGGAAATTCACTGATTTTACTTTTGATTTCGTGCAAAAATCAGAGACATTTTAGTCAAAATTTGCACTGGTGCATTTTCATAAAAAATAGAGCTGTATGAGTCAATTTGGCAACCTTGGAATGGAGTTACGTTCCTTCATCTGAGAAACGACGATTTAAAGTTTGTTGGAGGATTGAGATCTGGCATTACTTGAATCAAAATCTTATGGAGTTTACATTCTTGAATGATGTACACAACAAGAGCTTTTTTCTAAAGATAAGGGAAAAAATTTTCTAAAGTCTTTATAAAATGGTGAGCACTTTATAACAAATCGGCTTAAAATATTAAAACTTCGGTAGCATCAAAATGCGATTACTTTGGCTCTTCTTCTTTTCAGTTGATTTCATTTGCTTCATCAGGACAAAACTAAAAGAGTGAAAAGTATGTGACCAAGTATTTTACAATTAAAGCTGAAAAACACAAGATGTGTGCCTTTTAAGTTGAGGATTTGAAATTACGTGAAGAGTTTAAAAAACCAAAAGACAAACAAACTACAGAATAAAAGCCCTCTTGGTTCGTGATTTGAATTTAAAGAATAGGAGGCTCTTTGTTCCTATGCTGCCATAAAGAGCCCTCAACTTTGTATTTTCAATGGATTGAAAATTGAAAATGTCTCACATACTGGAGGATTGAACTACATTTAAGACTTGATTACTTAATTTTTAAAATTTTCATAACTATTAAGCTTACTTTGCACCACATTCTCTCAGCTGCGTTTCAACTGATTTTTGATCAACAAAAAGTATAGAGCTCATCAAAATATTACAGAGGGCTAGACAGCAGTCAATCTTGAATTCTCGTCTTCATTTTTAAATGGCACACCGAAAAGGCATTTTTAGACTTAATTTTTCCAAGTTTACGTTCAATGAGGTACATCCTCATCATAATAAGATTCAATAAGGAAATATAAACTGGAGATAAGAATACCTTCCCTTTTTTGAATCTTTGACAAAAATAATCAACTCACCTCTGTATCTATTTTGTAGTATGTATTCACATACGCAGCTCCACCGAGGAGCCCTTCAAACAGGATGAAACCGAAGACAATGAATACGGTGGGAGAGAGAGTATACACAGAGTCGAAATACAGGTACACCAAGTTACAACACTGGAAATGAGAAAAAAATGTATTAGGAATCACATGTAAAGAACAAAAAGAGCAAAAAAATGTAAATAGATAGCATGGTAAAATTCAAGAATAGAGACCCCAGAAATTCGGTTGCGCCATTCGCGCGAATTATCAAGAAGTCGTTTTTAAGCACTTGGACCAAGCTCAGATGCATCATGGAGTTCCGTTAATTTCGAATATGTAATCAACAATTTTGCAAATTTCGGCATTTGCCGCGAATTCTGGTGTAAATCCGCCAGTTTTTACCACGAATTCGCGAATTTCGACGTAATTTGCGCTGTTGCTGGAAAATTCGCGGAAAAATAATCTTTATCATGTTCGGAGCCGCCGATTATTCTGGTGGATGGGACATGGGAAACTTCGCGAAACTCCGGTTTCCGTTGTCGACCAATCGTAGATTTGTGCTTCATTTTGCAGTAAACCACTGGCACTGCCAACCACGTTTTTCAAATTTAAAATAAGAGATGAAAAGAAAACACACATTTTTAACAAGAATTTGGCAGTTACTAGCAAGAATTTTAAAATTTGCGTCGAGTAGGTATTTTTGGATTCTCAGTGAGAATTTTAGGATTTTGAGCGAGAATTGTTATTATTTCAGCAAGAATTCGAGAAATACAGTGAAGTTTTAGCAGAATTTGGCAGTTTATAGAGAGAATTTTGGGACTTTTAGCCAGAACTTGGGTCATTATAAATCACGAGAAAATGTGGTCTCTATTCAAGGGAGACTATACAGAAATTTTAATTATTTCTTTGATAAGAATTTTTTTTTGAAAACTTACATGTGTATGAGTTTGCCAGGCACCGAAAAAATGATTAAATTAAATCGTGTACTTTAATTTGACTACCTACCTCCTAACTCACCGTGACTTTAGTGGTCCCATCGAATTAAATTGAAAAATAAGCTAAATTCCTTATATTTTTTTGGTTTCTCTCATTTTCCAATTTGCAAACAAGCCAGCTCAAGGAACCCAGCTTTAACATCAATGAGACTAAAAATTGAAACAGGAAGTGTGTTATTTTCAACAGTTGCGCAAAAGACTTTATTGGTGGAAACACATGCTTACCTGCAGAACGGCAAAAAGCCACAGTTGATTGAATTTCACAAAAGTAAGAGAGCTGCGGGAGATGAACACTCCAATTTGGTACAGCACTTGGTACCAACGATATTGATCATTGTGTGTCAACCAGATGTTGCGGAAGTACAAAAGTTCGAACTGTCGGAAAAAACCAGAAATTAAGATCCATGGATGATGGATGACCGGAGATTAAAAAAATTAACTAAATGTAGCATTACTGAATCTACTTGATTAAGTTCTAAGCCTAAGGCATTGAATATGCTAATATAGTACTATAAATAAAAAATTTACTTCACTAGATCCTTCCGTACTGTAGCGCAGAATCATGTAATCAAAGATATAAACTGGCCTGGCTCACGCCTGTCTGAACTCAGATCATGCAAGAGTTATTTGGGCGAACAAACCAATTCAATTTGGGTGTATTGATGGATGACCGGAGATTAAAAAATTGGTAAATGATTTAGATGTAATCCACTTTTGGTCCTTCCTTGCAACCACCAGCACCCTCCTCGCAGTCAGTGCTTGCTGTACTGGCACCTATTGCTAGGTAGCCAACAGTGGCGTGGCGTGCTTTGCAATATACCGATTGATCTGCCATTTAAACCTATGGAAAAGGATCAATAAACAGGGTGTTCGCAATGAATACCTTAATAATTGATTCTTTACCATGGATTCAAATGGACTAATATCGATAATCGATCATTCATGCCTTGCCACTGGTAGCCAATATTATCCTTGCATCAAATAAGATAAGTTTCGTTATCTAGTACACCCAAGTAGCCTTTTTCAACGGAAAAATCGCGATTAGTTGCGATTTTGTTGGCGATAAAACGCTAAGATCATCAACATCCGAGCGATTATCTTCGATCTTGTTGCAATAAAATCGCGATTTTATCGCCCGGCAATTTATCGCGATATTATCGCAACAAAAATCGCGAAAAATGGCGATTTAATCTCGATTTTATCGACGAAAATTGATCGCGATTTTATTGAACAAAAAATTGCCATGCATAGCGATTTAATCGCCATAAATCGCAATTTTTTATTCGATAATATTGCAATAAATTGCCACCGATATAATCACGATAATCAACCGATAAAATCGCTATTTATCGCTATCACTGCTACTTGGGCAGACCCATCTGTGTATTTTAAAATATACCTACAATATTTTTACAATGTGAGGCTTTCCATAAAAAGGGCCGTCATCAAAAATTGCAATCGAAAGAATTGCATTTAAAGTTTCCATTATTACTTTCTGGCCACTGATGGTAACTTACATCTGCAATTGGAGTCCAGGCTCCGATGTAACTCACCGTTAATGGCCACAAAATAATTATGGAAACTTGAAATAGATTCTTCTCAAACGCGATTTTTTGCTTTAGGCCCTTTTCCTGCAAAGCGTCTCAATTACTACTTTACAAACCATATTTTATCAAGGGAATAAAACCTGCTCTCACTTACCAAACCCTGATTTATCAGATACTCAAAGAAATAGACAAGTCCCAAGGGAACCATATATTTGACAAGCTTAGGCATGATAGAAAGTCTCTCAGAGAACGTATGCGTTGAACGAGCTGTTGGCACCAGATATGCACTTGAATTGGCATCTTCTTCGATTTTCCGCGCTGAGTTTTGATAGCTCTCGGGGCTCTCGCCACTTTGTGCTGAGGCGCTTGTGGATGATGAACCACTGATATTTGGCCGATCCAGTATGATCCAGAATCTGTAATTGGAAAAATTCAAAAATCTTACATTATAACTCATAGAAAGATGGTTAAGGAAAACCAATTGCACAGCAATGACTAAGGTCGAAAAGTGCATGTCTCAGATAGCGGTGTTGAGTGTCTGCACAGTTTTTTTTTTTCTTAAACAAAAAAAGGAAACAACTAACAGCTTTTATTGACATTTTTTGAGCATTCTAAAAAATATACACAAAGTTACGGGAAACCTTGTAACTTGTCGTAACCTTGGTTGAGGCTGAGCTGAACGTAATAAATGGGCAACATACACAATACCAACAATAATATAATTGTTTTTTATACTTCATATGTGACTACATGAGAGGGGAACTTGGTGCAGAGACACTTAAAATAGAGACATTAGGCTACAAGAAAAGGCGTTAAGAAATTTTTGTAGCACTATTTAGAGGAGTGTTATACAAAAGTTTGATGAGAAAAAGCTTCCAAAATTGTCATACTAAACCAATATTGTGATGGATTGAGGTTCATGATCCAAAGGACAGAGTTTGAAGAAAAAGCTGCTTTAATTTTAAGTAGCCATACCTATTCAGGGCTTGAATTTGTCCAACGATGGTGCAACTTTACACCTTTCTTTGGCACAAAATAGAACCATGCTGCTTCAAACTTATTTTATGAGGCACTACTAAAAGACATACTGTGTCAAAATTTTAAATCTGATTTTCTTTCTTTCTCTTTTCCTTATTGTTAGCTTGACAAAACTCGCTTTCCTGAATAATTACCCTTTTAACGTTGAGGGCTGTTTTCCTCTGGATGGTTGCGATTATATTTTAAAAAAGAATTACCATGCTTTTTTCCAAAACCATGAATTTAATGAGTTAGCTTGTTTTACATCCATCTCCAAAAATATGTAGACTTTCAGTCCGCCAACAAACGAGAAAAAACCTGTCAAACATTACAGCAATGGCAATTTGACGCTGGTTTGAACTTACAACACATGATTGACAGAAGTTTAGATTAAGCTCATCATTACTGTGGAGACAATGGACCGCTAGACAAGGTATGAATTTAAGCATTCTGATACATATTTCTTAACCAGAATTTCACGTAGAGCGCGATTTGCGCAACGAAAACTAATGAAAAAAACTCCAGGCGAAGTTATTGACGTTTTTATTTCACATTGGTTACGAGGAATTTGAACTGCCCGCTGACAAGAAACTCAAAGCTCTACGTGAGTCAAATCGCGCACTACATCGGTTTCAACAAGCTTCTCAATCGAGTAATGTTCATTTCCCACCATGTGTTGTTCAAACTATAAGCAATTTGCTACAGCTGAGCCAAAGCGTCAAGTTTGAGGTTGCCAGATTTTTATATCGCAGAGACTGTCATGATAACGTTTAGCGCGCGATGTGAATCACGCAGAGCATTGAGTTTTCATGAACGGGTGGTTTGAATTTATGCATTAAGAATCATTAAATATCTTTGGAAGGAGTTGATTTCGGTAAATTTCGTTGTGCGCATCGTATTCTACGTGAAATTTTAGTTAAGTAATATGTATCGGAATGCTGAAATTCGTACCTTGTCTAGTGGTCCATTGTTTATTGAAATTTGGTTGGTAGGACGGGAAAATTTTACAAGGTCGGTTTTGAGAGACTTGAAAAAGTATACTTACGCGATGGCCATCAATACTGGGACTGAGATCAAAGTATAAAGTGTAGCTGTAGAAGAGAGGCCCAGTCCAACCATGGCTGCATAGTAGAAAGCTCCGAGAAATCCAGCTCCTCCGGTGCCTGAACCCCATGCAGTGATTACATTTCTAAGGAAAAATAGAGGCCATTATTTATAGGGTGTCTTTCTGGGGTGCAAAATAATTTTGAAAACCTTTACAAGGCAGCGTAAAGCTGCTAAGTATGAGCTGCTTCAAAAAGAATATGCTTCATGCTAATGTATTGTTTTGTTGCTTTTTTTTTTACTTTCATTTGATATTGCTGATATTTGTTATTGGCCTGTATAATGACTGCAACTGCAGTTCCTATGTACAAGACTTTAAAAATAAAATAAAATACCTTCGAAAGGATTCAGCAATTTAATTAGGGGAAATCAATTCCTAGAAATTAACGAGAAATTTCTATGTAAAAAGAAGGGGCTGCACATTGACTGCAATTAACAGAAGAGAACTTAATCATTTAACTTCATCTTTATCTAAAAAATAATGTCTAGAATAGCGAATAAATTTTCTTTTCTACCAGAAACTTGTTAATTTTGAAAGAAAACGACTGTGTAAATTTTGATATTGTATGTACATAGATTTTGTATTTATTAAGGCAAAGAAGAAGACGCACGATTTTGATAACACTGTAATCACATTAGTTCTTTTTTGCTGAATGCTATCCAAATACTGCTGCTTGTTACATACTTAATTGCTGATTTAGCGAATTATATCGATGACTGAAGTGCAGAACCAAGTATCTCTGTTGGAGACGTTGCAGACTTCTCGTTATAGGTACTTCATTTTTTCTTTCGAAAGCTAGTCAATGTAATTTTTTGAAAACTTCCTTAATTTTTCTTCTCCATTAGCAGAATATTCTGTGTAAATTTCAAGCTATAAAATGGCTTTTTACCATTCGAAAAAACAAAATATGAGCGGAAATTTTGAAACACCACAATGGAGATCTATGGTTTTGCACTTTGGACATCGATATAAAGAACATGCAATGTCATCGTACACTTTTGATGATGTTAAAGTTAAAAATTGAAGTCTCAGAAATAAAATAATAATTTTATGGCAATCAGAGGAATGATAAATATTTTATGAGGATCAACTTACTTATCACCATAAAAACTCATGAAAGACAGGAGAGTGGCTTCACCGAGTCCAGAGGTGAAGGAAGTCAGAGCTACTCCAGTGTATGCTAACCAGAGAGCATTTGTTTGAGAGGAGTACCCAACCATGCAGAATGCCACCGCAGCAGATACTGTGGTTACTACCATTCGAATACTGAGAAAAAGAAAGAATAGGCGGGTGAAAAACTAAGAGCAGGAAGGTATGCAATTGTTCATAAATGAAACATTGATAAAATTAGTGTAGACTAAAGCTCGAAGAAATGCTGTAGACGCTCACTTCAGGTGTCCCTTGTAGCAATGATCTTTTAAAACATTCTTCAAAAACTTTTACAAAAACTGTTGAAACTTTCGTACTAGGAAACCCTTTTTGGCCATTTTTTTAGGTAAAATTTGAGGAAAAATGTGTTAAAAAAACTCTTAGAATATCACTGTAGTTTTTTAACATACTTTTGAACATTTTTAACGTTGAAAAACTACAGTTAATATTTTAGGAGTTTTTTTAACATTTTTTTTAACTTAAAACCTTTACTTAACTTAAACTTTTTTTAACCTTACCTTACTTCAAAAATAGCCAAAAAGGGTTTCCTAATGAGAGAATTTTAAGCGTTTTCAAGAATTGTACTTTCGAAATTAAAGAGTTTTTGAAAAGTTCTTTGAAAAGTTGTTGCTACTGGGAAAGTAACTTCCGCTGTCTAAAAAAATAAAAATGACTAAGGTTGGTTACAGTTCATTAGACAGAATTGTCTGAAGGAAAAAAATTATATCCTTGTAGGAGCTGAGGAGCTGGGAGCAAACATTTCGGGAAATCTGGTTGTTGTCACATTGGATGAAAAAATCAGGCTTTGGTTTTTAATGGAGAACTCGCTCCCATACTGCTGTGCTGAGGAAGAAAGCCGTATGAACATTCGAGCGTTGCCAAATTTCCCGTGATAAAATCTGTATTTTTAACAAAATTCATGCATATTTTTCCTTGAAATTTTCAGATATTTTATATTAAATTGTGTACGAGATTGTCTGAAAATTTGAGAAAAGAATATTCAAAATTTTTCCAGTAATTTAGGTTTTTATCGCAGGAAACTTGGCAACGTCTGAAGGCTCATACGGCGTTCTTCCTTAGCACGGCAGCATACCTGAAAGAACAAATTGAGCACAATTCAGTTCATTTTCGTGCTAAAAGCGGGTTGAAAGTTGCATTTTAATCTGATGCTTTTCAGCCTAAATACGGCAGATCAAAACTTTGCATTGGATGAAACATCAAAATTGAGAAAAATACCAATCACTTACTGCTCATGGAGTGGGAAAAAAGGAGAGATGATTTTGACCGTTAGAGCTGGAACTATATCAGCAAGAAGGATGGCTCCTGTTGAAATTGTATTGCATTCTCGAGGATTGTCTGGTGCATTCTAGAAACCAAATCGAAATTGAATTTATTACAATAACCAACAAAAATACTTCACCCATAATGAGCTAGCGAATGACGCACATTTGAAACGGAAATACATTATACTATATAAGCCCTTAGAAGGTAGATAGACCGACTACTTTTGCAAGAATGGATCTGAAACTAAAATAACTTTTGAATTTTTAGGTAAACTTAAACTTTCTTCTGTTTTTCACGAGCAGTTTAAGAATTTGATCAAGTTGATCAGAAAGGGTTTAACTTAAGGGTTCAATAGAATAGGATAATTTATGAATAATTTTCTGAATCCTGTTCCGCATTTGATACAATCATCGATTTCTGTATCGAATTCGAGGTTTTTTTCCAAACAGGACTCTGCTTTCATTTTTCTGAATTTTGCTAATTTTTTGGTTTGAAATGATTCTTTAGGCTCATGCGCGGGGGCTATCATCCTTTTTTTGGCTAAAATTCAAAATCTGCCGAGATTTTTTACCTAATCGATACGATAGATCACATTCCAGTCCGACCACGTCAGGAAGCTTGACGAATCACCTAAACAAACTCTGTGGTCATCCACGCCTTGCCTTGCTAGGCGAAATTAGACCTTGTCTCCGAGGGATGTTTCATGGGCTTTGTCCCAGGGAAAAAATAATCTCACTTGCAAAGTTGGGAAAGATATTGAGTTAGTCAATACTAATCACCAACTCAGAGTCCTTAAGGAGTCCCAGGAACGACTTCAACAGAAGCCGGAGAAATTTCGTTGTGTTTTTTAACGGAAAAAAAGCCCAAAAGTTTCCTTCTTGCGACTCGAACTTGGGAAAATCCCGTGAAACGTCCCATGGGAACAAGGCCCTAATGATAAATCCTCGATGCAACTATTCGAACTCATGGGCTGTGTGTGTCGCATATCCAAAAAAATGAAGGCGTTCTGGCTTTAAAGTCTCTTCCAACCATAGAGTACATAGAGTAGTAATGTAAGTGGGTGAGCTGGCGCCACTTTTAAGCATTTTCCAGGTCCCGAGTTCCAAGACTCCTGTGTGACGCCGGGTCACTTTTTCGATACATAATCGATTGTTGGCGATACACGGGTACCCGGCCATCCGATGTAAGCAAAGAAGATAGGAATCGCTACGTATTCCACACCGCCATTTTGGATCGAACAAGTATCGAAAAAGTGACCCGAACTCGGCGCACACCGGGCTCGGAACTCGTCAAGCAGAGCATGGCGCCAGCTCTCCCATTTACATTACGACTCTATGTACTCTATGCTTCCAACTAGCGATTCCTGAAAAACCCGCGAGCTTGGGGCCTGCACTGAAAAAAAAAAATTCTGTGTATTTACTAAGAAAAGGGTAAAATTACCAAGAATTCAGGGTTCTATTTGATCCCAGTTTTTTCTTGGTGAAATTACTATTTATGGAATTGGTAATTTTACTGGACCTTGGTAAAAACGGGAATATTTTTTATCGACTGTGCACTGGAAAAAAAAGTAGCTTGGATCAAGCATGATGATTCTTGAATTTGCCGCCAAGAATTTTTTTTATCTTGCTTTAGGCTGACTTTTTTTTTATACAAGACAAATAAGGCTTGGGTTAAGCAAAAAAGTAGCTTATATTAACCAGAAAAATTCTTGATTTAAGAAGAAATACTCCTTGGCGGGAAATTTAAGAGTCTTTCTTTCCCAGTGTGGTAGAATTACCGAGATAAAATGGCAAAGTTACCGGGAATTGATTATCAATAAAAGAGGTATTCTTACCTGAAAAAACCAGTAAAAATACCGGTTTTTAGGTAAGCTTACCAGTCTGTCTTGGTAAAATTACCGATGATTGGTAAAAAAAAAGTGAGATGGTAAGGGTACCAACGGACCTTGGTAAAAACGCCGAGAATTTTTTTTCGGTGTGTTTGAAATGGACTGCATTTTGCAATTTGGAACTATAAATTCTAGCTCTTCTGAAAGAACACTTATGTGCACGAGGCCATAGGGAAACTAATGGCACATACGTTGTTTTTAAACCGGGCTAGAATTTATAGCTCCAAATTGAAAAATGTAGTCCAAATAATATCGATGGGTGAATGACATTGATTCTTACATGCTTGCCGCCTCCGAGAATGTCATGGGCTGCGCTCAACATGACGACGTAGCCCATGTTATTGCACACGCCCAGGATCCATCAATTTGGAGCTATAAATTCTGGCTCTTCTGAAAGAACACTTATGTGCACGAAGCCATGGGGAAACTAATGGCACATACGTTGTTTTTAAACCGGGCTAGAATTTATACATGTAGCTCCAAATTGAAAAATGTAGTCCAAATAATATCAAGGGGTGAATGGCATGGATTCTTACATGCTTGCCGCCTCCGAGGATGTCATGGGCTGCGCTCAACATGACGACGTAGCCCATGTTATTGCACACGCCCAGGATCCAGAATGCCAGCAGGCTTTTCGTCCCGACATTTTTCGCTATCGACACGTTCTTCTTCTCCGGCTTCCGCAGCGTCATTTCTGGGTCCAGAGTTGCTTCTGTCAACATATCGAATTCATCGAGTTATTAGATACATAGATAGATAAGATATTTATGCAAAATGTAAAACATACAATAAAAAACAACATTAAGCTGCACAGAAAATTGAGATATCCGATGGACCACTAGACAAGGTACGAATTTAAGTAATTTAATACATGTTTCTTGAATAGAATTTCACGTAAAGCACGATTCACACAACGAAAATTACTGAAACCAACTCCTAACGAAGATATTAACGTTTTTATTTCACATTGGTTACGAGGAATTTGAACTGCCCGCTCACAAGAAACTCAAAGCTCTACGTGAGTCAAATCGCGCACTACAACGGTTTCAACAAGCTTCTCAATCGAGTAATGTTCATTTCCCACCATGTATTTTTCAAACTATAAGCAATTTGCTATATCTGAGCCAAAGCGTCAAGATTGAGGTTGCCAGATTTTTAAATCGCAGAGACTGTCATGATAACGTTTAGCGCGCGATGTGAATCACGTAGAGCATTGAGTTTTAAGGAGCGGGTGGTTTTAATTCACGCATCAAGAATCATTAAATATCTTCAAAAGGAGTTAATTTCGGTACTTTTTATTTTGCGCATCAAGTTCTACGTGAAATTTTATTTATGAAACATGTATCAGAATGTTGAAATTCGTACCTTGTCCAGTGGTCCATTATTCTACCGGATCAGACATAAAATTAAATTCAACTGATAATAATACAAGAAGAAAAAAAGTAATAACATGAATACTTGACATACATTAAAACTAGAAAAAGGCGAAATTATAATAAACATTAATTCAGTACAAAAAATGAGAGAAAAAAACAAAAAAGAAAGGACAGAGAGGCGCATTTTGAAGTGAAATGATGAAAAAAACTGGAAGAAGGAAAAAAGTAAGAATAAATATAGAAATGTATATAATGGAGAGAAATTTAAAAAAAAGAGAGAGAATTGATCATCAGAGAAAGGAAGGAGAGAATAAACAAAAAAGAAATAAAAGATAAAAAAAAAATAAATAAACTTAACAGAGTAAATACTTGCAAAAAAAAATATAATTCATTCACATGATTACTTTCTTACATGACGAGATAACTCAAGGTTGCAATTTTTCATGTAAAATAAAATCTTGAAATTTCAGGAAAAATACGTGAAATTCCAAAAAATATGGGGCTGTCCATAAATTACGTAATGCTCAAATGTATNCATATGCTTAGTCGATGGCGCGACACGACAAAGCGGCGACATACAGTCGATAGCATTCCAATAATCGCCCCGCAGTTTTGAATCGTTTAACCCATTCAAAACAGTGGGAACATCTTATACAATGATCATGGTAAACTTTACTTAGCATATACCAAAAGTTTCGGTTCAAGGTATACCGAGTTTAAAACAAAATTTAATGTTGAATTTTTGCTCTATCAGTGATCGCATGATGACAATCGCAAAACGCACCTGACTTACTCGTATTCAAGATGACACAGAATAAACACTGATCAAAATAAACAATATCTGTGAACGTAGCGTTCTTAAAAATATTTCCAGCTATCAGGAAAGCTCAAGAAAACCTAATTCGGACGCAATGTGGGCTAGTTATGACCAAAATCCGGTTTCTAATCTAACAGACCTCGTAGTGCCCTTTACTATTTGTCAAGCACTTCCAAATTTGTATGATATGAATCTTCCCATTTCGGGCGGGGCTGCTGTCGGCCCCATTCCAATTTGTAATAAAAGAAACAAATAAAATATGTTACCATTCTAAAAAAAAAATAAATAAAATAAAAATGAAAAACAACATAACGCTGCACGGCAAATTGAGATACCCGATTATTCTGCCGGATCAGACATAAAATTAAATTCAACTGATAATAACACAAGAATAAAAAAAGTAATAACATGAATACGTTGACATACATTAAAACTAGAAAAAGGCGCAATTATAATAAACATTAATTCCGTACAAAAAATGAGAGAGAAAAACAAAAAAGAAAGGACAGAAAGGGCGCATTCTGAAGTGAAATGATAAAAGAAATTGGATGAAGGGGAAAAAGTAAGAATAAATATAGAAATACATATAATGGAGAGAAATTTAAAAGAGAGAGAGAGAGAGAGAATAGATCATCAGAAAAAGGAAGGAGAGAATAAATAAAAAATAAATAAAAATACTAATTATAGAAATAAAAAAATAAGTAAAAGATAAATAAAAAATAAATAAACTTAACAGAGTAAAAAATTGCAAAAAAAAAAAATTCATTTACATAATTACTTTCTTACATGACGAGATAACTCAAGGTTGCAATTTTTCATGTAAAATAAAATCTTGAAATTTCAGGAAAAATACGTGAAATTCCAAAAGACATGGGGCTGTCCATAAATTACGTAATGCTCAAATGTATGA